GTAAGTAATTCATATTTCAAAAAAAAAGCATTATGGGATGCTCTTTCGTCCTGGACGTTACCGAGTTTTTTTGTTCCAACGCAGAAACAGCGTAATAAAGTGAATTTGAGGGGATACTCTCAAAACTTAAAAGAGTTAGCAATTTGATTTACAATCTTTTTTCCTCGGATTGTATAAGCATCCATGTAACCAAAACAGATCATTTTGATTGGTGATGGCTAATTTCCACATCTTCATTCTTTGATAATGCAAATATTGAATTTATACAATTAGGATTGATGATCGCAACGTCCTTAGCCTTCGCAAGTTTTTTGAGGATTTTGCCTGATTTTATGCTGGCCGCACCGCAACTAACACAAAAAGTAAAAAACAACCAGTACACGCTACTCTGATACGCATTATCATTCGTTATTTTGACATGTGGATTGAGTTCGTATGTAAAGTATTGAAATTTTTAAAATGATACCTTGAAAGCTAAACGGGTGCCGCCCGAGTTGTTAAGCTGATGAACAGATTGCCCACCAGCAGCTGGAACGGTAATGATTGGTGGATCGATGGTTAGTACTGGTGGCCCGGTTCCGGCTGGTGCACCTCCTTCCGGTGCAGCCCCTTCTTGTGCTGCGCCTTCAGGCGGCGGTGGCGGTGGCGGTGGCGGTGGTGGCGCCGGCGCACCTTCTGCCGGAGCGTCACTCATTGTGTATCAAACTGCTCCTGTTACACAATGTTAGATTACTATAAAAAACTGAGAGAGAAAAATGATTGATCTAATTCATGAGGAAAAGTGGTGTTTTAAAAAAATTGCGAAATTATCAGAATTTTATCTTGTTTGATGCAATTACAGATCTAAGATGAAAACTGTGACATCCTAAACAATCAATAGAAATACGCGGCAACTCAGCAAACAAAAAGTTGGCGAGCAGATTTCTTAGGAGCTTGAGGTAGAGGAAATACCGGAATCGCAAAACAAAACAGCCTATAACGCACGAATCAAGTAAGCGGAGAGATCGCAGGAAGGAAAGCAGGCGTACATAATTAATGAACAAACAAAAACACCGAAATGCAACCTCTGCGCAATTTAGTCGATAGCAAAACTGATTTAGTGAATTAATAATCGCCTTAAATACTTGGTAGTAAACGGTTATCCTATTTTCCTTATGAAAATTTTTCCTTTAAAAGGAGCTGTCGGCGTGGCGCAATGGCAAGTAGCATTGCACTTATGCTTGAATGACGGGGGCTCGACCCCGGCACTGGGATAACCAGTCTCTCTATGACTCGTTTGT